TATCGTAGAAATAAGCTGCAGCTTATCTTTTGGTTGAAAGTCGTTAGAAACTATGATTTTTGCTATCTTTAATTAATGCATGATGAAATTTTCTACACGCATATGTATGTATAAGTTATCGAGATTTACAAAATGCATTGTTTAAATTTTCGTTATAGATTGACAGGTTTGTTATAACAGAGAAACTATCATTTATATTTGCTTTTTTTGTTGTATCAACCAATTGCAAGTTTTGCAATTTTTTTTAATCGTTGTCTAGTAACCTAATCAATCTAGCATCTAAAAGATGTTCAAGTCATTTGGTTCAATTTTAAAAATAGGTTATCCCACTTGAAAAAGTGTTGATACTTTCCGGTGCTAATGTATTAAAATTTTAATAAGTGTTACATTTAATAACTGATCGTTTTTATGTATATATACATTATTTAACACGAATAATTTATAAATATTTTTTTGTGGGCACGGATCTTGGTCTGCTATAGCGTGCTAAGAAACACGAGTCTAAAAGTTTATAATGGAATTGAATTATATGTATTGATACTTTATGATAGATAAGTTAGTTGTCTTTTTCCTACATCATGGAATAAAAAATGTTCCATTCAATAAATTCCATGAAAAATTATACATATTTCGAGTCGAAGTTATATGAAATCGCAGAAAAGTTGAAAGTAACCACAACATTGTTTGTACATGAAAAGTGATATGGTGGTGTGTACGTACGTATGTATGCATGCATGTATGTATGTATGTATGCATGTATGTATGTATGTATGTATGTATGTATGTATGTATGTATGTATGTATGTATGTATGTATGTATGTATGTATGTATGTATGTATGTATGTATGTTTGTATGTATGTATGTACTTATACTTATAACCGTATGACATGAGTTTCTGTGAGTTCTGTCGACCACACCGCAGCTTAAAGCCGCCATGATACATGTTCGCGACCCGTAACGCCTCTACGCGACGTACGAACGAAGAACATCTGGATTAGAGCCGTAGCTCGCCGTAGCTGTTGCTGTTGCACGCAAAGTCAGTGCATAACGTATTTTACGCGAATATTCGATTCACATGGACAATTCCTAATGATCGGTAGTATACGACACATATCGTGAAGTCCTTTTAATTGAGAACTTTTTGTGTATTTACGAATACCCGAACGATAGTCCGATCCGTTGGGTTTCGGGAACACGTAACTGATTGTTTCTTCAGAAAACATGGCTGAATATCATTTCGATGGTGTGGTGAAATTGTGTGTACAGAATTATTAAAACGATATCCTGCTCTTTTGAACACATTGAACTGCCGGCAAAATGACATCGATACATTTCGCCGTGCATCCGTTACCCGGAACAGACGATCAACTGCATGATAGGTAAAGAGAACATGTTCATTATTGGTTTCTCATTAATCTATCATTTCGGTATGCCAATGGCTCTTCTTTTTACTGCTTCTCGAAACTGTTATCGTTCCTATCGTTTGTTCCTTAAATATTGAGCGAGCTCGTATCTTTTGTCGCAAGTTAATCCTTTTCGCTTTAATCGACGCGAGCTCGAACTCGATGCATCACTCGATCTTCGTTCCGAACGAACGCTGTTTAATCATTTTCCATACTCCATTCTATTCTTCGAACATAGGGAAATCATTTATTGTTAGATTGTTACGGTTCTTTCTTCTTACAAATACAGCGTAACCTGCGTTTCTGTGCACGCATCCTGTGTTTCTGTGCACGCATCCTGCTGATAATTCGATATCAAATTTATGCGTTCGAACAGACAATTCGTTGTCATTACGGCATCGGTTTGTACGTACGAACATTTCTGTAGATGGCTTTCCATTGCCAAAGAGAAACCTATTTTCCTCCCGTTTCATTAACGTTTTATTATGTTCATAGGTTACGAGAACAAATTTTCATTCGGAAGTTTCCTTTCAGATTATTATCGAATATTTCTGTGTGATTATTCATAGATTGTTCGTAGTAAATATTTCCTACATTATATTTTTTATTGAATGCTTCAAAGTTCTTTGATACAATTAAATTTCATACAAAATATATTCATTGTAACTGTAATTCGTCGATATTATATTTACTGATATTTATTTTTAAATACATAATACTGTCACCCTAATGGTTGTCAATACTTTTACTTTTTTTTCATCCAAAAATAATATTAATATGAATTTAACCATACACTGGAACATGAATTTTGTATTTTTTGTTACCATTATTTTTAATCATTATGTTCATTATCGAGCTTACTTCACCTTTCCAGTTAATCATCATAGCTTTCGATGATTAATTAAGCTAGACTATAGAATGTTTTTTGTTACATAATCTAAAATTGATAAAGTAATTCATTATAACATATAATGTTATTTAAATGTTGTCTACATCAAATATATACAAGCATAAACTTCTCTGGTTTTTATGTTAAAGTTTAGACATTTTTTTTATAAATTTGTAAAGAAATTAAAGAAAAATTATTTTGTAGGTTAAAAGAAGTGGGAGAGAGGATCAACAGATACGGATTTGCTACATTACCAGCATTTAATGGTCTAAAGATTGCAGTAAAACATATTGTTGTTGGACCAACACATATTGCTCTTCTTACAGAAGACTCTAAAGTTTGTAGGGTTGCATTTACAGTATTGTCAGATAGATTGGATCTAAGTAAAAATGAACCAAACAGAAAGTAAGATCGAGTAAAATATATAGTATATAAAAACAGGATATGAAATGAAAGGTTACAGCATATTTATCTTTATTGCAGCACAAATAAAAGTCATGTTGGGAATTCAAATTCAGCCCCAAGTGGTGGTGGAAGTAGTGGAAGCGGGGGCAGAGGCATGTCTAGAACACGTGCTAGAATTATGCGTGGTAGTTCGCGAGGTGGTAGCAGCGGTGGAAGCAGTAGCGGTGGTAGGATAGGTCCTCCGGGTGTAATCATGGGAGGAGGAAGTAGCAGCAGCAGTTCACGTCCCATTGCACCAGTACCTGCACCATTTGTGCCCGAGGATCTTATATCGCAGGCTCAAGTGGTACTACAAGGAAAAAGTCGCAACCTTATTATTAGAGAATTGCAGGTTTGTTCCATTGCCACATATATGTATACTATTCAATCATACACCATATATGTATACATATAAACTATTACAATCCCATTATCAAGATATTAGTTTAATTTCGAAATATCTGTTGTATAGCGTACAAATTTAGATGTAAACTTAGCAGTAAATAATTTACTCTCACGGGACGACGAAGAAGGTGATGATGCAGAAGATGCAGCAGATACCTATGTCCCCGAAGATCTCATATCTTTGTTGGATGGTGGGTTTAGTAATGAACATTCTGTTATAATCGACGCGGATTCTATGTTTTCTGAAGACGTGTTTGGATATACAGGAATGAGAAGGTGACTAATTACGTAACATTTACTCTTTAGCCGACGGGGGAAAAACAAATTGTTTTCAAACGCTATTATATTTTTCAGCCGTGGAAGTTCTTCGCGCAGAATAGGCAATGATAGAGAAGGTGATCGTACGTCAGAACGGGATAGAGATCGCGATAGTTTCAGTAGATGGAGAGATCGTCAGTATTGCGGACCACGCCGTTGGTTGGAAACAGCTCTCAAAGAATCATGGGAGAAAGATTCTGGTAAAGATTTTACTAAATTTATGCCGTAAATATATATGCGCGCGCATACACGCACACACTAATTATGTATTTTTTCCAATCATAGATAATAAAAAGAAGGAATTGGCTTCTCAAAGTCCTTTATGGATATCAGAAGAATTGGAATGGTGGCATGAACGTAGTTCGAATCCTGCTCCCCGTTTTGTACAGATTGCTTCACTTTACAGTGAATTAGTTGCTGTTTCTGCCGGGGGTCATTTATATCAGTGGAAGTGGTCTGAATCAGAACCTTACAAACATCCAGAGGTACTTTGTTATTTAATTGAGTATACAATTGAATTTTCTTATTATACAGCAAGAAATCAATATAATTTAAAAAACGCTGGTTTTAGAATCCAAACATACACCATCCGAAAGCTCCATGGCTAGCTATAACATTAGAAAAGATAGTAAATATATCAGCGACTGCAATCCGTTGTTCAATTAGCACCGAAAGTGGTAAAGTAGCTACCTGGCTTGACGAACTTGTAGGCCATGTTGCTTCTCGACTTGAACATCCAGCGCAAAGATTTACTGAATTTACATTGGACAAGATAGTATCTCTTCACACTTGTGCTCTGTACACAGTTGCTAGATTGGAAAGTGGTACATTATACTGGTGGTTAGTTAAATTTCAGTAATATAGTATGAATATAGTTTGAGATAAATGATTTTGAGTCATTATAAATTTACATGCACAGGGGAGTTTTACCGTTCGCACAGCGCAAAAAATTATGGGAAAAGTACAAGGCTAAGTCGCGCAAACACAGGTCATCGACTGCATCTTCGAATGATATTAGCTATGGCACACATGTTTGTATGAAAAATAGTCCTATATATCAACCAGGAGCAATAGGTAAGTGACAGCTAAGGTATCCGAAACTTCAAACGTTTCCATAACATTATAGACCAGATATTGATTGTTCAATGCGTTTTCCAGGATTCACAATAGCCAACGGGGTACCAAAAGTAGGACAACTATTAGTAGCTGCTTGGAATTTAGATTCGACCTGCAGATTCAAAGTACTACCAGCTGGAACTCATTTGCTTAATGCTACTACAGACAAACGAGAAACAAGTGGAAACAACGGAACTGGTACTATTACTAAGACAAATCATAAAGAGACCGCAGACCGTCTTGATATGCCTCCACCACCTTCACCAGCTTCGAGCACATGTAGTGATACTGGTAGCATTACAACAAGTCACAGTAAGAACTTGTCATCATTTATTTATATTGATTTGCTTACAGTCCGCTTTTACTATCTTAGTAGTTTATTGGAGGCTTTATTAAAGTGCTCATTTTATTTTTTATACTTTATGGCAAAATATTAGAAGTTTTTGGTAACCTTTGAGCGGAGGTTGTAATTCTAATAGAATGTTTTGGTTCTGTAGAAAGGCAAAAACGAGTTGCACCTAGAAGCGAAGGGGAATCCGAACGAAAAGATGAAGAAGAATGGCAATTGAAGGACGTTGTTTTCGTAGAGGACGTTAAGACTGTTCCTATTGGTATGTTATATATGTAGCAGAGTAACGTTCTTTATATTTTAATTTTCTTTATATATTATATCATAATGTATTTTGTATACAGGTAAAGTTATAAAAGTGGATGGCTACTATGTTGCTGTGAAATTCTTTTCAAAAGATTCGAAGGAAAAAGAGAAAGAAATTAAGGAGAAGGACTTTAGTACGTCAGACTTTAAAGATCTGACAGCAGAAGAATCAATCAAATTGTTAGCCGATTGTCGATTGCTGAGAAAGGACGAGCTACAAGTAAGTTGAATTTGTATACATACTGAAAACACGTTGGAACACTACCAGTAATACTTGTACGTACTTAGGTAATCAAATCATCCATGAATCCAAGAGCTCCAGATTGTTTCCAACGAACTCCTAGAAGAGTAAATATTGTTGAAGGATCTACCGATAATATATTAACCATTGCTACAGACGGACAAGGTAAAGTTTCAGAAATCTGTACAGATCATATTTGTCAATTTATAATATTTTCTGACAACAGCAACGATAATAATAATTGATCGCTTCTAGGTATTCACGCAATAGTTAAAAAAGGAAACAAGTTGAGTTACGTGGTATATAATTTGAGTACTGGCAGACACGTTCAAGATTGCTATATTCCATCGGATATATCATGTTTCTTGGGTTTACAGCCTCAAAATATCAGTCTTACAAACGCAGGAGAGGTACATGCTTTAAATTTTCTCTTAAATATATTCATAGGTTATAATATTTGTATATTTTCTAATATAACAGGTGAGGAAAACTAATTTATTTTCATATTACAGAATATCGAATGTTCTATGATTCTAAGAGATGGAAATAATACGATCTATCCGTTGGTAAAAGATTGTGCTGGTGCTATTCGTGATCCACACTGCTTAGATTTAGTTCCAGTAATTTGTATTGGTGCTTCGACCATTCCTATACCAAATTGTTCGAATTCAACTAATATGAAGAACAAAGTTGCCGTTGTTGCACTAGCATTTGATAACCTTTTGCTTATGCCGCGTATACTAAGGTGCGATTACGACAGCGTGAAACAAGTGTTCTGTAATCTGGAACAAGACCATAGTGAGTATTGTTACACGTATTTTTGTTTTTGGGTAGTTTTAGTATAAACGAGCACTGTATACACTTTTATCTTTTTTTTTTAAAGAAAACAATGCTGCACAAATTCAGGCAATATTAACCGAACGTTGCGATGGCAATCGCAACATTCTACATGCCTGTATTAGTATGTGTTCACCAACTTCCAATAAAGAGAACGATCAAGGTATTGCAATCGTTACTTCACATTACAAAGCGAATAAATTGTAACATATTTAAAGTTATATTTTTTTATTTGAAAGGTATCGAACGCGAGCTGGTAACGAATGCAGTCGACGGCGCGTCTGCACCAATTGAGGAACCAATACCAACCCTAAGTTGGCCACCCGAAGCTTTTGATAACACATCAGGAGAAGAGGATAGTTTACTTAGCATTGGCGCTGCCAGTATATCTATGATGAACAAATCAGGTAAAAGTGTATTGAATGCCTTTTTAATTTTATCATCTTTAATAAAGATAAAATTAATTTGACCGTGACTTCATTATAACTTTATCGGTTGCATAAATGTATTTTTATTGGTCGTAGGTGTCGGAACTACATCCAATAATACTTATATCATAGACTCTGTTGAAAGAAGGAACAATGCGTTGCTTATATTAAAATACATGTGCGAGAGCATCGTATTGACACCTCATCTGAAAGAATTACTCATGGCGAAGTAATTATCGTGAAAACCAGAAATTTTATCAACTTTATATGCTTCGATGAAATGATTTTAATTTAATGTTCATGTTAACAGGGATGCCCAAGGTCAGACACCATTGATGTTAGCTGTGTCGGTTCGTGCGTATCACGCGGCTCTCATCTTATTAGACACTATTCAAAGAGTTGGCAAAGATCAAAAAGAGTGTCTCGCCATGATATTACACCCTGATGCAAATCCGGATTTATCACCTTTGTTCGTTACATGTTGTAACGACACCTGTAGTTTTACTTGGACTGGAACACAGCACATTGACCAGGTTGCGTATTGTCCATTATATTTGAGTAGTTAGGCGTAAACTTGTTGATTCTGGTATAAACATGCTCTTAACAAAAGTTTCTTCCATTTTTTTTTTTTTTAGAATATTTATGAATGTAGAACTTGTGGTTTAACCGGCTCCTTGTGCTGTTGCACGGAATGTGCTCGCGTTTGTCATCGAGGACATGATTGCAAAATGAAGATAACATCTCCGACGGCCTATTGCGATTGTTGGGAGAAATGTAAATGTCGTGCTCTGATCGCGGGACATCAAAGTGCCCGTTATCAATTATTATGTCGCCTTGTAGTTAATACCGATCTTGCGACAAAGATAAATTCACGGTAAAAAAAAAACGATTAACTTCCCAACTTCTATTTATAATTCCGATGTAAAAAGAAACATACTGAGTAAATTGTATTTTTGTTCTTATAGGGGAGAGTGCATTTTATTATTCTTAGTGCAGACTGTAGGTAGACAAATGATGGAGCAAAGGCAATGCCGGTCAGCACCTCGGCAACGATCGACATCCGTCAGTCGCAAAGGGACGTCTTCGGATGGTAATTTGTTTACTGATTATCATTCTACTCAAATTTCAGTTGACCAGTACCGATTGTGAGCTTATCTATTGATTGATCTAGGCGTGGATGCAGATTCGGATATGCCAGAGCATGATTTAGAACCACCCCGTTTCAGTCGAAGGGCTCTAGAAAGATTGCTCAACGACTGGCCAGCGGTCCAGTGTATGATAATGTCAGGCGTCTCTACAAACGGGAACGATCAATTATTTGGAGACCAAGGACAATTGTGTCGTCAGAGCGGCACCGCGTTGCTCGACAAGTTTACCCACTCGCTTTTGGTTAAATGCAGCGCAGAGGCGAGAAAAATGATTTTTTACTTATTCAGTCGTGTATGTGTTGCGTAAACGTGCTGAATAAAATATTTATTACTGTTCCAGATGCTCGATACCCTCTTAACGACTTTGATTCGAGAAATGCAAAATGATTCGGTTCCAGGACGCCAAGACGAAGCGACTAATGTTTCGCGTCGGTTCGTTCGGTCCGTAGCTCGAATATTTGTTATTTTTACAATTGAGATGGCACCGGTAAAAAAAAGGAGGAAGTACGTGTGAAATCCATTAATCTCGCGAATATCAATAATATGAAAGCATTTTGATTTTGGTATTAACTTGTCTTGGTCGTTGATGCCAAGTCGATAAATGTCAATTTCCTTTTACGTTCCAGCACCACTCAAACTTCGCAGCCGTTGATGAAATGTCGTAAAGTATTCAAGGCATTGATCAAATTAGCAGTCGAAGAATTATGCGAGACAGCCGACTCTTTGATAGCGCCTGTGAGATTGGGCGTAGCGCGACCAACGGCACCGTTCACGCTGACCCATTCAGCGATAGAAGTGATCAACGGCTCCGAGGAGCTGTTTTCCATAGAGCCGTTGATACCTCAGAGCGGAGTCAGCTCCCAGGCATTGGATCCTACATTACAAACACAACAAGGGAACAATAACATAACTATCGCCAGAGACGTTTCTGCTATGGATGAGGCTGAAGGTGGTGATGGTACGACAACCACACTGATTAGCACTGAAATTCGTCGATCAAATAATATCAAATCAATGAAATAATCGAAAACTTCTTTGTATGACTGATTTACGAATAGAAGGTCCTATGGATGTAGATGGTGACATAAGCGAGCACGAAGAATCCGGAGTATCGGGAACTGTCGCTGGGCAGCCGATGGGCGACATGGACAGCAATACCGGGGGCGTGGGTGAAGAACAAGTAGGAGATGGAGAATCGGATACGGAACTCGATCTTCTCGCGGAGGCGGAGACCGAATCAGACTCTGACGATAATCATAGCAATCAGGATGCAGCGTCCGCTCAACGGAGTGTGCAAACCGGTGCTACAGCTGGTTCCGACGGTGGAATGGGATCGATTTTATTATTCCCGGAGGATGAGTCTGGCGAATCGAGCCAGCAGGAGGATGACGAAAGCGAAGCGGGGGAGACCGACGAGCAAGACAACGAGGATTTTCAGATTGGCGATGAACAATTGGAGAGACGAAGGTAATCGACTCACGGATCGCTTGGTCGAAGTTTTGTTCGTCTGTAAAATTCGTACTGAAGTCAACAGACAAGTTTTACATTTTATTATTAAAAACGAAACATTTTCTATCGTTGATACCTTATTCTAGTGGTTCCTCCGGCCATTTACACCGCAATAATCTTGCACCCGTTTCTATGCAATGGGCGATACGTAATCGCGAAACAAGTACGCGTACAGCAGGATTACGGGTAGCAGGTGGCAGTAATTTGGTTTTTTTTGACCCCGCGTCTATGAGGCGTACCACTACAACGTCAACGGTTGCAGCTACACAAGAACCCATTATAATGGGCACCACCACCAGTTGTTTGGCACGCGCGTTTGGCCTTGTTATCCGACAGATAGCCGATCTTCTAGTTATGATGCAAGATTATAAAACGTTGGCACCATTTTTGCCGCGGCTGATGGAAGTTACCTACCAGGACGCGTTGAACTTACAGGTATGATTCCTTAATTACAGGTTTCGTTCGGATCGAGTAATGGTAATAGAATTTTAACTATTATATATATGTTGACAGACGTATCTCGAAACGCATTTGAAACCAACATGGGACTGGCTATTAACGGTTATGGATGCTACGGAAGCACAGTTGAGATTCGGTGTATCCTTGACATGTAGCGCAGATCCTACGCATCCGGAGCACCCATTGAACAATGCCCCGTCGCTCTCTGGTGGGAATTTTACCGGGTTACTGAACACCGCGGCTTTATCTTTGACTTTACAGTCTAATACAGGTCGGAATCAACGCAGTGGTATCGCTACCAGCACCAATATCTCCACTCCACAAGCTTCTACAAGACTCACCGTTGGTTTTGCAGGCGTTGGTGAACCTTCCAGAAATAGTAGAGAACGCGAAGGTACGCGCAAGCTTTCTTCCCGTAAACCTAAAATCCTGTCTTAGAGTACGGACTAATCCGGATAGAAATATAGAAATTTTCTCGTGATTTATCTAGCTAATTTAGAACAATTTTAGGTAGCGAAATACACCTGGCACGACGTGAATTTTTGTCCTATTGCCTGTCCTTAATGCGTGCTCACAATGGCGAACACAGAGACAGCCTGCCGGTGTTGGACGTTTCATCTTTGAGACACGTAGCCTACGTATTCGATGCATTAGTCTATTATATGCGTTCGCTTTCGGAACCGATGTCGGCTCGCGGGGAAACCCACAAAGGCTCGTCGAATTACTCGAGTTGGAACGATCAGGTTCGTGCATCAGGGCTGAACAGATTGAAATGTATCTTTCAGATTCGAACAGAATCTTAAGAAACTCTAGCGTCGTTGTATTTTGTGTTATAGGATGAAAATGACAACGACGAAGGAGAAGAATACAATTCTCCCGTGCCTACGGCAATGGAAACAGACTCTGTTGATTATCCGGACTTGCTTCAAGTTCCTATTTGCGGATCAGGAAATAACAAGGACAGCACGCCGAAAGGGCGGAAGCACCCTTTCTTACAAAGATCAGACTCTACGTTGTGTTTGGGTTGTCCGCCTCTCGACCCGTTCGACACAGTTATGAGCGAAGCATTGCCATTAGCAGATCAACCGCATCTATTGCAACCTCATTCGAGACGTGAAGATTTATTCGGTATTCCAAGACAACCGGCAACAAGTTCGAATCCTAATCAGTACCTCTTAGCAGGCCTACCTACGAGGCTTGGTTTATCAGCGCGTGGTACTGACAATCAGAATACGGTTACACCCACGCTTAGTCAAATCATTCAAGGACCTGCCTCGTTCGCGCCAACAGACACGAGACGCAGTTCTGTTTCGGTTGGAGATTCTTCGTCCTCCACAAAATATACGGTAATATATTTATAAAAGTGGCATAAGATAGAATATTATCTTTTTTGCATCGAGAACACCGAGTTAGTTCAAGAAAATCTTACTTTGTTGGTATCTACACTAAACACAAGAAAACACGTTTTTATCAACAACTACACGCGTAGTATATACGTGCAACATGTATTTCAAGTTTTTAACACGGAACAACGAATAACAGCAAAATATAAAGACCTCTACTTTGCATATTATAGGAAAAGGCAAAGTCGTTTAATCACACGAACGATAATCATTCGCTTGTCGCGGAACAAATCGATCGAGCACCAATTATAGTTTCTACTAACAACCAAAACGACGAAGCAGCGGGAAGTGCAAAAAATGCTAAGGATCAATGTAAAATAAATAGAAGCGTTATTGTTAGAGCTGGAACTGTTTCGGTAAATATGGAATTCAACTGTTTTCTCTTCAACTTTCTTTCATTTTTAATAAGACGCCGAATCTTTGTATAATCATGTATTTTGTTTGGAAAATGACAACACGACGTTGATTTTAAAGGAAACGAATACTAGTAAACCGGGTGCACCGGAAGTACTCGTCGTATCCACCGTTGAAACCCAAAGTGTAACAGAAGATGTTGATCCAGCCGGTTCGAGCCAAGAAATATCGGCTCACGAAACTGTCGAGACTAGTCCAGTGGAAAATGCGAGAGCCGTTTCGTCTATCGGATCAAATATATCTCATAACATTTTATTGGGTCGTTGGAGAGTGTTGCTTGATTTGTTTGGACGCGTTTTCATGGAGGACGTTGGATTGGAAGTTGGTTCTGTTGTATCCGAGTTGGGAGGTTTTTCAGTGAAAGAAGCGAAATTTCGTAGAGATATGGAAAAGCTCCGCAATACGCAACAAAGGGATATTACCTTATACAAAGTAATTGCATCCGAGCTATCGTCATTATCAGCATTATTATATGCTCGGTGTTATTATTATTACTATTTTCAAACCGGACACGCTGTAACCATGCATGCTTCTCTTTTATTTAAGGTTGAACGAGATAGAACCCAACTACTGGTGCAAACAATGAAGGAACTAAATACACAGTATAATTTATACTATAGGCGTGCCTCTAATACTCCTCCGTTAGCTGTTCACCGCGTTAAAGTAACATTCATAGATGAACCTGGAGAAGGTTCAGGAGTTACAAGAGGTTTTTATACAGCAATCGCGGAGGTTCGTAATGTTAACAGGAAAATTGTTGTCCATTCTATTCTACGAGTACAACTGCGACGACAGACCTTTTGCAATGACTATCGATAAATCTCATTCTGAGTAGCAATTAACTTGTAGTTGCATTAAGTTGTATAGTCGTTGTATATTATATTCGATATTGAATTTACATTCACGTTCTTTCTGCAGGCATTGCTCGCGAATGAAAAACTGCCTAATCTCGAAGCAGCACAAGTAGGATCAAAATATACACCGTACAACGTTCTGCAAAAATTGAAAAGTAGAGATCGCGATCGCGACCGCGATCGTGACCGTGACCTGAGACGACAGGTAACATAATTTTTCTTGCGGTACAAAGAAACTAAAAGACAGTTTCTTTTTATTCATCACTCTTGGGATCGATTTTTTATTCTAGAATCCACGTTCTTCTGGAAAATGTCGAGGTACACGTAGAGGATTGTCTTTCGAAGCTCGTTCTTTTCATCCATCCGGGTCCGTCGAAGGAAGTAGTAGTACTGGACCTGGGAGTTCATCCTCCAATTCCCATCCATTGCCCGTTAGTCACCCAATCAACGATCATTTGACCATGCATCAACAACAACTCGGGGACAGACTATATCCGAAAGTAATTAATAACGTTCTTACATTTATTTGATCAATTTCGTTGGCTGAAACGTTTCTGAATTTTAATAGAAAGAAATTTGCAAAGTTGCTATAGCCTTCAATCTCTTAAAAAAAATCTTTGTCTTTCTCCGACAGGTTTACGCATTGAGACCCATGTTGGCCCAAAAAATAACTGGCATGCTTCTGGAACTATCCCCTGCCTATGTGTTGATGTTGTTAGCTTCGGAGGATGCGCTGCGACAAAAGGTCGAAGAAGCGTTCGAATTGATTAGCGATTCAGCAAATCAACATTTACCGAACGAGGGGCTGCTGGATTTGGATATGTACAGTTTGGCTGCCCGGTGGGGAGCAAATAAGAAGAAGATCGAGAACAGTATTCCGGATGACACGGAAGATAACGCACCTTTGTTTTATTCACCGGGGAAGAGAGGTTTTTATACGCCGCGGCAAGGAAGAGCCAGTTACGAACGACTGAACGCATTTAGAAACGTGGGCAGGTAATGATGAAAGTAGTTACAAGAGAGAAAACCTACGGATAACGACAAAACGATTCGGAATATCGCAGTATTTAAATTTCTTACCTTTCAGACTCATCGGCTTGTGTCTTCTGCAAAACGAGCTGTGCCCCATATTTTTGAATCGTCACGTGATCAAATATATATTGGGAAGACCAATACGTTTCCATGATCTGGCATTCTTCGACTCTGTAATTTACGAAAGCCTGAGGCAGCTCGTTATCGACTCCGAGACCAAGGATAGTAACAGTTTATTTTCTGCTCTTGATCTCACGTTCAGGTACGATTCAACGCTAACTATTTTCTACGCTTGTAGAAAGTGAATTGTATGTCATATTTATATTTCTCCGGACTCGTTTAACTTTTTATAATTTCAGTATTGACTTATGCCCCGAAGAAGGAGGGGGATCAATCGAATTAATACCCAACGGTCGTGACATAGAAGTAACAGCGTGCAACGTTTACGATTACGTTCGAAAATATGCCGAAGTTCGTATGATTAAAGTACAAGAGAAAGCATTACATGCGATGAGAGAAGGAGTGTTCGATGTTCTTCCGGAAGGAGCGTTCGACGGCTTAACGTCCGAAGATCTAAGACTTCTTTTGAACGGAGTCGGCGATATCAACGTTTCCGTTCTTATATCTTACACCTCGTTCAATGACGAATCAGGAGAATCTGTGGATAGATTAGCCAAGTTTAAACGATGGTTGTGGTCTACCGTCGAGAAAATGTCACACACAGAACGCCAGGATTTGGTAAGAATTTTATGTGATTTTCTACATTTCAAAATTGATTCAAAATACTCCAATATTTACCAATTGCTTCACAGGTATACTTTTGGACAGGATCTCCAGCATTACCGGCGAGCGAAGACGGTTTCCAACCAATGCCAAGTGTAACATTACGGCCAGCAGATGATGCACATCTACCAACTGCAAATACATGTATCTCTCGACTATACGTTCCATTGTACAGCTCTCGCCACGTATTAAGACATAAACTACTAATTGCTATTAAG